ATAGACTCAGGAAGAAACTGGAACTGCAACTCTGAGTGCAAATGATGCTTTATTATATGAATCTGCTGTTGTGTATTTCTGTGTGGGTGGATATAAAAAAACATGTTTGACAATAAAGTTCCTACTGTATATTCATTGATCATTTGCATAATATTTATTTCTTTCACTTTTTTTTCAAATTTGAGAGGAACAAGGACATATTTGACGTTTGATGAGACACAAAGGACACTGATGACTGTCAAACACCCTCATAGGGAGAGTCAAACGGTCTGTCAGGGGGGAGGGAGGAGTGAGATACACATCATTTCACAGGAAGAGACAGCACAGTGTGGTCTGAGTACAACTGCTGTGAAAGTCACAAGGCCTCTGAAGTCAAAGCTTTGCAGCAAAAATAAACAGTTAAAACTGACCTACCTGCTTTTATCTAAATACTATCAGTTTCTGGATGTGTACAGACTGAAAAAATAGTGAAGAAAATCAGTAACAATGGAATAAAGCAGCCCCCTGTGGGGACAAACATTGTCTGTATGAGTGAAAAACAAAGTCTCCACCACAGGAAGACTTCAGCCCTGACCACAAACAGCAACAACCTGCTACACAAAGAGCAATGATACTATTATACATTGTACATCAATCTCTACTTTACACAGACTTATTGAACTACTTTACCTTCACAAGCCACATCAACATCTGCCTTCAAACATCAACACACTCTTTTTCCAGAGAACTCATCCAGATGAACACACTCAGCCATAGTCTCAGGTTAAACTCTCATCTATCAGGTTTCTGATGCTGCAAAGTGAATTCATTTCACTGTAGCAGAGTATACCAGCTGCTCTCTCCTGGCAGTCTGGCTGTGATGTGTAGGAATATGATCAAAAATACAAGCAGCAGGTAAAAGGAGTAAGCGGAGACTCACATAAAATCCTTAATGCCCTATCTACAGTCAACTGTTTGGTTTGTCCATTCTGGGCACCTGTAGGAACATGGCAGTTCAACATGGAAGTTCTACATGGCCGACTCAATGGAAGGTGACCTGTAGTGTTTGTACATAAAACCTGCTCATTCTAAAGTAATGAAAACACAACAATTATTATAGTGAGGTGATTACACACAAATGAAAACACATCTGTGAATATCATATTCCCTTTCTGCCAATACATCCTACTAAATGTTACACGGATACATGTTCTTGCAAGCTTTTAATTTTCATTCTGACATGGCTTCTTTTATCTTGTTCTCAGTCTCTTTTACTTTCTTGATTGCAAAATTAAAATAAAATATGAGGTTTGATGGAGGAGGAGCCTGTAAAGCCCATTTTTAGGACAAAACAGGCAGTACAGTGATAAAGTGGTTAGCACTGTTGCCTCACAACAAAGCGGTTCTGTCAGCTGGCTGGGGCCTTTCTGGACTCTTCCTTTTTGGATGCCATGCTGCTTTTAATATAAGACTCTTTCATGTAATATCAGAGGCTGCATCTCTCCAACACCCAGCTGTTGCAATCTCACTTGATGCTGAAAAAGCATTTGTGGGGTTTTGGTCTAATATTCTTGCTTAACCTAGCCAGGATATAACAGGTATCACACCTTTCAAACATGATTTTAAAGCTAACCTTTCTGCAGATGATCTCTCATTGATATTTTCTATGCCACATCATTCAGTTCCACACCTTCTTAAACGTGTTAGTGATTTTGGCCTGTTTTCTGGGTACAAAATCAATTGATCTAAGACCAAGGCTATCCCTTTAAAACATGCCCTGCACCAGTGTTTCTAAAATGGGGATACCCCTATGGGTGCTATGTGGTACTGCAGTACATTTGGTTGTAGTGTGTTATATCCTGCCATGTCAGTGTCTCTGTACATTGTTTTTGTTGCATAACAAATCTGAGAGTAAACTATTTTAAACAAGAATAGATATGAATGCATTGACAGGTCAGTGTGAGTGGCAAGAAGAAGAACATTTTAAGACACTCAGCTTTTTTTAACACTCATTACAGGAGCTCAGTGGTACAAACTGTCATTGCAGTGACATGATTAAACGCACAATGTGAAGCTTCACCTTGGTAACCGCTTTACATCTCTGCAGCGTCAGTAAGTACTGGCACTTCATTATTCTCAGCACAAAATAATATAACAAGTATCCCACCAGAATTTAAACTTGTATATTAGAACTGAATTCATTGTTTTTGTAGCCTTGTGACAGTAACTGTTGCATTATACTCTCAGGGATCAATCTCATGTTGTCTGCTGCTTGTTTCAGGCTGGATCTCTGTCTCAGGTTCTGAGTCTCAGACTGTGCAGGTTGTGGTTTGTGCATGTGTACAATAGCTCCTCAGGGTCTGATAAAATGAGCTGTGGGTACTTACAGTGCTTACAATGACAGTGTCGACACTTCCATCTGTCAGTAGAACTGACACAACACAGAGAGAGAGTGGAAATGTATCTCTAGCTCAATCAGGCTGCCCACTGGTGCTCCTCAGGGCTACATGCTCAGCCCAGAGCTATTCAGACTGTTTACACCTAACTGTCAAACAAAATCTAGCTTTAGTCATGTCAATAGGTTTGCTAAAGATATAGTAGAGGCAGACTATCAGCAACAATGATACAACAAACAAATCAATGGCACCTCAATGCTGAGAGTGAGAGCCACAAAGTTTTTGGGCGTACGCAGCAACAGCCTTACATAGTCCTCCAACACTGCCCCCTTCTATTTAAGCATTGTTTGTAATCATGCTCCTGTTCATTTTTAGATGCTACATTATTTTTTATTTCACTGATCTAATAAAGTATTACCTAATATTATAGTCATGATGTGCATTCATAACTTTGCATTTATTGTGAAAGGAACAATATATTGTTCTACTGCATACTCGAATACAAATGAAAAACAACAAACTTGCAGGTTATTTATACTGTCTGAGCTGCTGTATCAGACTGTGATCTTCCATGATGGCTGTATAAAACTGTATGAATGGCAGAATAATTGTCACTTGATGCCATCTGATATTCTTTGAGGCATATTTTTGTCTCAGATAGCATAAGGAACAGATATTCCGTGATGAGAGAATTGAGCTTCTTTGAAATAATTATTCATTTCCCCGCCCCTTTCCACTGATATAAAGTAACCCCCCTGCTGTGACACAGTTATACGCACAATGAAGAGCTTCACCTTAATAACAGCTTTACTTCTCTGCAGCCTCAGTAAGTACTGCTATTGAATTATTCTGCGCAGCAAATACAATTCTAATCTCTCTTTTGTCCAGTGTAGAGGTATGTTGTTGGATTATCAAATGAGGAGTGAATCTCATGTTGTCTGTACTGTGTGTTTCAGGCTGGATCTCTGTCTCAGGTTCTGAGTTTCAGACTGTGGAGGTTCAGCCTGGTGAAGATGTCACACTGCTGTGCTCCAACATTTCCACAAGTCCAACTCAGACAGACTGGTTCAGAGTGACCAACAGAACCAAACCCAGCTGTATCTCCTCTATGTACGGATCTGATGGCGAAGCTTCATTCTGTGATGGATTTAAAAATGGAAAATTTAAAATGAGCTCCAACGTCTCCACTGTTATTCTTCAAATCAAACGAGTGGATTTCTCTGACTCTGGACTGTATTTCTGTGGATTTTACAAAGATGCAAACATAGTCATTTCCACTGCAACACATTTAAATGTTAAAGGTAAGTTTGAAGTTAAGTCTTACCTTTTATAAAGATCTCATCATATTTACAGTATATCTTAAATGTATTGTCACAGTATGATAGCAGCATAAAGTCAAACAAGGAACTAAAATGTTTCAAATTATTTAATCATCTTTTTTAAAGATGATGGTGAATCTGGTGACGAAGTGGATTTTCACACTCCAAGTAAGGTTCTCTTTTAATCTTTTAAGATTATTTTCATTGTGAAAGTTACCATAGAGCCGTTAATATCCGTCAGATTAATCAGTCTAATTCTACCATGTTTCCAGTAGAGAATCCTGATGGAATGACAACCCTAATGAGTGTGATCCTGGGTGGTCTGACTGCTGTCCTCACTATAGTCATCATTGTTCTGGCTGTTAAAATCAGGAAACTTCAGACAGGTACAGTACATTTATAATTTGTTGCACATCATCTAGTGAGTTGTGTCAACATGATGGACAAATCCAAAGTAAAGTATGTGATCAGTAATAATGAACTAATCAGACTTTTGTCTTTTGTCATTTAGCTGTGAAGGAAGAAGCGCAGCCAGAAAGAAACAAGGTGAACCCACCATTAACTTACACAAACTGTGTGTTATGGTTTTAAAGTTGCATTTGAACACATGATGAGTCTGTTAATGATCTTTGTCCCGAGCTGCTGCAGGTGGAATCAAACAGCAAATTCAGACAGGCAGTCACAGCAGACCTCCTTAACGTCACATAGAAATGATCCCATTAACTCATACTTTCAACTTTAATTTCCGCTGCCATCTTCAAACTGTAAACTGACAGTTGAGGTTCAGTAACTTGAAGCAAAAACATGAATAACTTCATTAACTTGAGCAAGGAAAAGAAAAAAAAAGTTAAAAACATTATCATTTGGTTTACTCAGAATGTGAACAAATGCTAGTTGTAGCCATACTTTGTCCTTCCTCCTAACAGTTACATTGTTTTTTCCCTATGAAACACATGAAAATGCATCAGCCAGAGGATATTCTTTTTAAAAAGAGAAGATTGAGCATTCTGCGTATAGCTTTCTCAAGTACAGTTACAAAATGGTTATTTTATATTTGAAATACAGACACTATAAGGTATTCTATTTTCATTATTGTTCGAGCAACCTCAGTTTAAATTGTTAAACCATTTTCCTTGTTTATATTAAATTGTGCAACACAGCTGGAATTCTATTAAAAATCAGCATTCTAAACTAACACTCATCTCAGTTTAAATGATTTCTTTGTGGTCCAACACTCGAATCCACCAATGAGCAAACTCAGCTACAGTGTTTGTGAGTATGTGACTCTAAATACTCTGGTTTACAGAATCTGGACTCAGATGACCTGAACTACGCAGCTCTACGTTTCCAGGCGAAACCAAAAAGAAACCACAGACCTGCACCAGAGAGAGAGCTGGAGCCACATGTTGTGTATGCTGCCACCAGATAGACTCAACTGGGACTGTAGCTCTGAGTGGAACTGATGCTTTATCACATTAATCTGCTTTACACAGACTTATTGAACTACTTCAGCAGCCTTCAAACTTCAAGACACTCTTTTGCCAGTGCACATCCACATGAACACACTCAGCCATGATTTCAGGTTAAACTCTCATCTATCAGGTTTCTAGTGCTGCTCAGTGAATTCATTTCACTGTAGCAGAGTACAGTGGTTCCCAGAAACACAAAGAGCAGGCACACAACAGTGTTTAACCTCTATAAAGTCACATGGTAGAGACATAGGATCTCCACAGCTGAATAATAATCACAGCTTTTTCCACCAGTATAAAGAATCGAGCAGGCAGACAGCAGGCAGCGCACCAAGCCATAAACCCACCCAACATTAGACACAGTAGGACATGACCAGCATAGACCAGCACCCAGCAAACACTGCACGTTTTCCTCAGCACCCAGACCACAGCAGAGAGAGAGAAAGACAACTCAGCCACACAAAATGCGACAAAGTCAGCACAGGTTTCAAAGTGATTATTAAAAATATATTTAAACTCACTGTTGACGTCTCCAAAGCAGCGCAATCTGTTGTTGTTGTTGTTGTTGTTGTTGTTGTTGAAAGAAGTTGTTGTCCAGCTCCCCTTCTGTCCGAGGACAATTGAAAACAAATCCATCCATTATTTCCCAACTTCATGAACTTTCTAATTCGGTGTACTAATTTCAGACAGGAGGAAAGAACTAGGACAGGTGGCTGCGAAACGCCAAGGTGCACTCACGTCACTGACGTAGCGATGTGACGTGCAACGGAGTAAAGCTTCCCCCACTGATCAATGACCTATCATCCAGTTAAATTACAAGGCAATGATGTAATATTATACAGTGAAAACAACCAGAGAACTCAACTTGTTCATTTTATTAAGGAAATATCACATCCATCGTTTGAACCGCTCAGAACTGAACTTTGATAGTTCTTTTAGTCTATGAAAAATTGTTTGAAAATAGAGCCATATCCTGTTATGTAATCCTTATTTCATTATGATGCCTTAATGTTAGACTTCATTGGATACCAATGTGGGGATACTGAATGGCAGATCTGCTGCTGACCTCAGAACAGTGTAGTGTGTGATGCTGACAGCACTGCAGGAGGCAGTGAAGTCACTCATTTATTCAGTAAAGACCTGTATTGTTTTTACTCATTTATGTGCCTGTTGTCATGTTGTGGGGGCGCACAAACATCAACATATGATCTCAGATGAAATGAGTCATTATTCCAATTAGAAAGATGTGTCAGACGCTAGAATGCCTCCCCTCTATATCTAAAAGATAGAAAGGTTTAACATTAAAGGTGGGGTCAGTCATTCAGGCTGTCAAATACTGACGTCTTGGGTTGCCAGTAAGACCCAGACTTGACTTCAAAATGAAAAAAAGGTTTGGGGAGGAGCCGAAAGTCTATTTTAGGATAAAATAGGTTACGAGGTACAGTGGTTAGCACGTCGCCAACGAGAGGGGGTGTCAGCCGGCTGGGGCCTTCGTGTAGAGTCGAATGTTGCCCCGTGTCTGTGTGGGTTTCCTCGGGTGCTAGCTCCCACAGTCAACAATGCAGGTTAGATTTAATGTGACCCTGTTTGATGTGTCTATGTGTCAGCCCTGTGATTAACCGGTGACCGTCACCCCACCTCCCGCCCATGTCAGCTGGGATTGGCTCCAGTCCCCCCACAACCCTGCAAAGGAGAAGAGGTTCAAGATAATAGATAAAAACAAACACTAATGTTCCCACAAGACTGTGTGTTTCTGCTAGAGTGGTAGTTTTCTGCCCTGGCTGTGTTTGCTTTCACATTTGGGCAAGCAACAAGTCTTGTACACCCTCCCTCCCCCTTTTTTCAGTTTCCACTGTGGTGAAAACACTGAGCATATCATTAGCCACAGGAAGACTGGCCTTCAGCTCTTTGACACAGACACACCGTCATTTCCACTGCAACATATGTAAATGTTAAAGGTAAGTTTATAGTTAAGTCTTACCTCTTTTAAATATGTACTCTCCTCATTATATTTACAATATATCTCAAATGTATTGTCACTGTTTGAAAGCAGCATAAAGTCAAACAAGGATACAATTCCAATTATTCCATTATCTTTTTTAAAGGTGATGGTGAATCTGATGATGAACTGTATTTTTACACTCACAGTAAGGTTCTCCTTTCCCCTCTTAACATAGAGCCATTCATATCAGTCAGATTAAAGAGTCTAATTCTACCATGTTTCTAGTAGAGAAGCCCTGACCACAAACACCAACAGCCTGCTACAACAAAGAGCAATGATACTATTATAAGTTCTAAATCAATCTCTACTTTACACAGACTTATTGAACTACTTTACTTTCACAAGCCACATCAACATCTGCATTCAAACGTCAAGACACTCTTTTTCCAGAGAACTCATCCAGATGAACACACTCAGCCATAGTCTCAGGTTGAACTCTCATCTATCAGGTTTCTGATGCTGCAAAGTGAATTCATTTCACTGTAGCAGAGTATACCAGCTGCTCTCTCCTGGCAGTCTGGCTGTGATGTGTAAGAATATAATCAAAAATACAAGCAGCAGGTAAAATGAGTTAGTGGAGACTCACATAAAATGCATGAGGCCCTATCTACAGTCAAATGTTTGGTTTGTCCATTCTGGGCTACTGTAGGAACATGGCAGTTCAACATGGCCGACTCCATGGAAGGTGACCCGTAGCGTTTGTACATAAAACCTGCTCATTCTAAAGTAATGAAAACACAACAATTCTTATAGTCAGGTGATTACACAGTGATGAAAACATATCTGTGAATATCATATTCCCTTTCTGCCAATACATCCTACTAAATGTTACACAGTGGACCCTTAAGATACATATATTGTGTCCTAGTGTTTAGTTTTCATTCTGACATGGCTCTTTTTCTTTTCTTCTCAGTCTCTTTTCATTTTCTTGATTGCAAAATGTTATATAAAATATGAGGTTTGATGGAGGAGGAGCCTGTAAAGCCCATTTGTAAGACAAAACAGGCAGTACAGTGATACAGTGGTTAGCAAAGCGGTTCTCTCAGCTGGCTGGGGCCTTTCTGGACTCTTCCTTTTTGGATGCCATGCTGCTTTTAATATAAGACTCTTTCATGTAATATCAAAGGCTGCATCTCTCCAACACCCAGATGTTGCAATCTCACTTGATGCTAAATGGACCTGTACTTGTATAACGCCTTTCTAGTCTTCCGACCACTCAAAGCGCTTTTACACTACGTGCCACATTCACCCTTTCACACAGTGATGGCAAAGTCATCGAACAGAAACTAACATTCATACACATTCACACAGCAATGCACGGCATCGGGAGCAATTTGGGGTTCAGTATCTGGCTCAAGGATACTTCGACATGTGGCACCAGGGGCTGGGGATTGAACCCACAACCTTCCGATTTAGGAACGACCCGCTCTGCCTCTGAGCCACAGCCGCCCCACACAGCTGCTGAAAAAGCATTTGACAGGACAGAATGGTCTTATTAATTTCACACTACCAAAGCTGGGTTTTGCATGCTTTACCTAACCAAGACATAACAGGTATCACTTTTCAAACATGATTTTAAAGCTAACCTTCTTTACTTTGGAGTACTGCAGTACCTTTGGTTGTAGTGTGTTATATCCTGCCATGTCAGTGTCTCTGTACATTGTTTTTGTTGCATAATAAATCTGAGAGTAAACTATTTTAAACACATATAGATATGAATGCATTGACAGGTCAGTGTGAGTGGCAAGAAGAAAAGCAAAAGACACTCTTCCTCCCTTAACATCCTTTATAGGAGCTCAGTGGTACAAACTGTCATTGCAGTGACACGATTAAAAGCACAATGTGAAGCTTCACCTTGGTAACCGATTTACGTCTCTGCAGCCTCAGTAAGTACTGGCACTTCATTATTCTCAGGACAAAATAATATAACAAGTACCCCACCAGAATTTAAAGTTGTATATTAGAACTGAATTCATTGTTTTTGTAGACTTGTCACAGTAACTGTTGCATTATACTCTCAGGGATCAATCTCATGTTGTCCGCTGCTTGTTTCAGACTGGATCTCTGTCTCAGGTTCTGAGTCACAGACTGTGGAGGTTGTGGTATGTGCATGTGTACAATAGCTCCTCTGGGTCTGATAAAATGAGCAATGGGCAATTACAGTGCTTACAGTGACAGGGATTTTTCTGTTGACACTTCCATCTGTCAGTAGAACTGACACAATGCAGGGAGCGAGTGGAAATGTATCTCTTGCTCCATCAGGCTGCCCACTGGTGTTCTTTGCTTTGTTACTTTATGCTGTCTGAAATTCTTTGAGGCATATTTTTGTCTTAGATAGCATCAAGTAGAGATATTCCTTGGTGAGAGAATTGAGCTTCTTTGCATGAATTATTCATTTCCCCGCCCCTTTACAGTGATATAAAGTGCTCTTGCTGTGGTAAGGTTATACGCACAATGAAGAGCTTCACCTTAATAACAGCTTTACTTGTCTGTAGCCTCAGTAAGTACTGCTATTGAATTATTCTGAGCAGCAAATACAATTCTAATCTCTCTTTTGTCCAGTGTAGAGGTATGTTATTGGTTTATCAGCTTATGAGTAAATCTCATGTGTTCTCCGCTGTGTGTTTCAGGCTGGATCTCTGTCTCAGGTTCTGAGTCTCAGACTGTGGAGGTTCAGCCTGGTGAAGATGTCACACTGCTGTGCTCCAACATTTATAAAGTTACAATTCAGGCGGAGTGGTTCAGAGTGACCAACAGAACCAAACCCAGCTGTATCTCCTATCTGTATAGTGCTGATGGTAAAGCTGGTAAAAAGGTAAAATTCTGTGATGAATCTCAAAATGGAAAATATAAAATGAGCTCCAACGACTCCACTGTTTTTCTTCAAATCAAGCAAGTGAATTTATCTGACTCTGGACTGTATTTCTGTGGATTTTACCTAAACGGACACACCATCATTTCCACTGCAACATATTTAAATGTTAAAGGTAAGTTTGTAGTTAAGTCTTAGCTTTTATAAAGATCTCATTATATTTAAAATATATCTCAAATGTATTGTCACAGTATGAAAGCAGCATAAAGTCAAAGAAGAAACCGAAACATTTCATATGGTTTTATCGTCTTTTAAAGGTGATGGTGAATCTGATGATGAAGTGTATTGTAACACTCAAAGTAAGGTTGTCCTTTCTGCTCTTAAGATTATTTTCATTGTGAAAGTTACCATAGAGCCATTCATTTTGAATAAAAGACAGATTAAAAGAGTTGCCTGTACCATGTTTCCAGTAGAGGAGCCTGATGGAATGACAACCCTAATGAGTGTGATCCTGGGTGGTCTGACTGCTGTCCTCACTATAGTCATCATTG